TATTCTATCTATCTGCCTGCATGCAGTCCTACCTACTTATCCAATTACATACCAACCTACTTGTCTGAATGTTAGTTAGCCTGTCTGTACGTTTTTCCTTCCGTCCGAACATTCCGTACACTCGTCCCACTAACTATCAGTCCGTTTCTCTGGGCTTTCAGCTAAGTTTTCTCAGGGGCTGCAATGCTGAAAATTGACATCGTGACGGGCCAGGGGCATAGAAAGATCTTTAACACAAAACAATTGGGAATGATCAGCGGGCCATTTGCTATGCCTTTATGGGCCAGACTTTGCAGGCCGCCAGCTGAATAGACCTGCGTTATGGAAATCTATCCGTCACCCATCTGCCTGTACCTTCAACAAAAAGTTCCTAGTATCGTGACACATTACGGTAGCTCTTCGTTGTATGATGTTGATGAAAAGATTCCATTAGCGTGCGGCTACATGTGAAGCAAACAGAACAGCAAGACTTATTAAGAAAAGCATGGATAGATAGGCGACTGCAGGAGAACTTTTCGGGCCCGCATCGGCCTCACCAATCATCTTCGTACTCATACTTGATGAAAAATAGAGTGGTCTTCATCATCTTGATGGACAACACACACACATGAAAAGATTACCTGTCTGGAGGCTAATATAAATCACTCTGATCACCTGTACCAAATTCATAAATCACATGTAGCTTGTATGTATCTCTTCGTGTCTGAATACATTTAGTATCAAAATGTTCATACAGGTTTTTATTTTAAAAACTTCATGCAATACACTGCTACCGTAATGTATTTAAAGACCGTATATATTCTACATGTTAAGGGGTCATTACAGGAAAACAATTTTTTTTTAATTTACAATGTTAGACCAATTATTTTCTAATGATCATTTGTAGGGATGTATGTTGATACATTTGTAGACTTAAAGTTAAAAAAAAACATGGTTCCCATGGCAACAGCCGCCATCTTGAAAAAAAAAACTATTGAGAAACAGATGATTGATTTATGAACTTTATACCTATGTTCAGGGTCAGGTCTAGTTTATTTACTTCAAAGATGTTTCTACATATTTTTTTTTAAGAATATTAAAATTTAGGTAGGTTGAAAAAATACCAAAATGTAGCTTTTTAAGATAATAATCAAATTTTTAAAACAATTACTTAATAAACTGTAATTTTAAATAGAACTGAACCTATAATATTGTGTTAGGAGTATCCACACCAAATTTCACGTCTCTAGTCTTTATATTAGCTGAGATTTTAGGAATTCCCACACACAACAAACAGAAAAATAGAATTGTTAGAAAAGTGACTTTTAAACTTTTTTTTTATCTCTTAAAAGGGTGCATGGGTTGGTGTCTTTAGTTTAAACTTTTCAATGCTAAATTTTTTACAAATGACACAAATTTTGTGTGTAATCTATTCTACGAATGCCGAACTTTACAAAAATGAACACATTGAAAAAGTGATAATTTTGTTCATAAATTGGAAAAAATGCCGTGTAGTGACATTTCGTCGGCTCTGTGGCTAAGTCGATGCAAACGCTTCTTAATGCCTGGATGCCGGGTTCGATCCCAGCTGAGGGCCATGCGCCTTGCGTTGGTTTCGACAGTAGTATCAAGAAAGCCGACCGTCCAGAGGCAATGGCAAACTACTGGATGTAAATTTGCCTAGAAAAACCACACAACAGCCAGGGGCTGTTAGGGTTGGTTCTGCAACGTCCTGTAAAGGATACGCAACTAATCTTTTAATACATTTCACTACTGGATGAATCTATGATTTCTGAAATTAAGGGGAGTCCGGAGACTAAAAGAATACTGGCCACACCTGGTGTGGCACCATATGCCCAGTCGGCGAATGACTCCATTACGCCAGTCTGGATAGCAAACCTGCACATCCCAGGATAATAGCACCCGTGTTACACTCCGCTGCCCTTGACCTGGCGAATGAATTGAACCAGGCCGCTGTGTACTCTATGGTACAAAAATAAACTGGAACGAAACTAAACAAGCCAGCGCGCGAAATGATGATCTTCGAGGCGATGGAATGAGATTTATTATTGCGAAGCATGTTCAATTAAATGTTACATAATGCTTGAGAATTGTTATATCCTAGTGGTTTCTTTTTAAACACGTGTCAGCATATTCTGTTGTGTTAAAAGAGAAACTGACGTTCCGCGCTCAGAGTCACTTGCGGCTATAATGAGACTCGGATAAGAAGTATATCGAGGATATTTTTTGCTCAGGTCATTCCAGTAGAAACTGCCCATTACTGTCTTTATTATACCACTTTTGCGGTATAGGCGGGGGGGGGGGGGGGGGGGGAGAGAGAGAGAGAGGACGGGGGGTCGAGGGGGGGGGGGTCTTTGAGCCTGAGGATTTACTGCCGCATGGCTAGTGCTGTCGCCACGACTGTGCAGGTGAGGATTTTATTTTGCCCCTGACAGAAAAAATCCCCAGCCTTACCGAGGATTCGAACCCGGATCTCCCGCATGAAAGCCCAGTGTTCCAACCGTTCGGCCAGCCGTTCCTCCATTCGAGTATACTTGGTAATAAGCGGGTGGATAAATGGGAAGATAGTTTACGATAAAGTTTAAACGGTGGAGGCATTCTGGGATTTGAGTAAACAGTGCATCAGAACAGACAGAGCATCCCTGTCTCTAAGGCATGATTCAGCTGGGATGGAGCAGAGGACCTGGACGAGTACATTATTTTCAGTTCACCCCAAACAAAGGAAATTCTGGAGTTTCCGGGAAAGTCCAATAATCTAGGGGTGTTATGTGTTGGAGTTAGGTTTAGGATGTTTGTCAGCCCCGACTATTACAGAGTCACCGACTAACCTTATCCGGTACTTTCATTTTAGTTTACCATATCACGAGGAATCTGAGAATTCTTGGGTCAGTTTAGTATTATTGCGGGGGGAGGTGGGGTGTGTGTTAGTATTAGTCGTTGTTTGTCTCACACTGTAACAGCCCTATACTATGGGGAAGAACTAAAATGAAAGAACGCCTATCCCCAATCCTAACTCTAACCCTAATCCACCCATAACACTCATATAATTTTGGACTTTCCCGGGAACTCCGGGATTTCACTTATTTGGGGTGAATTAAAAATAAAATACATCAACACGAATTTCTACTCAAGGACAGGCTGGGGCAAGCGAACATTTAATCAGATTGTAAATGGCATCATCAGTGTGGGAACTCTTCGCAGGCTGCTGAGGAAGAGGACGGAGCACGTCTAGAATGTTCCAGAGGGCTGTGGTGTCAATTCTTAATTCAGTCATTCATTCCTGTTGCTGCTGTGGAGAAAGTTACGTGCAACGAGCGCACGTCATTTAGGTTAAATGGTTGCGAGGTGGAAATCACGGGTCGTGAAACAATTTGTTGGACAATTCAGCCGGCAACGCCCTTGAAGATGATGATGATAATGATAAGGGTGATAAAGATGAGAAGAAGGAGAAAGAAACATCAGTGTATTTCTGACCTCTGTTTATGATAATGATAATTTAAAAAAAAATTGGCGGTGGTAATGATAATGATGATGATGATGGTGGTGGGTATGTTGATGGTGGTAGTAGTGGTGATGGTAGCGATGGTGGTGATGGTTGGGACGATGATGGTGGTGATGCTGTTGGGGGTGTCGATAATGGTAACAATGATGAAGACGATGATGGTGGTGGTGGTGATGATGGTCATGATGATGATGTTGATGATTATAATGATGATAATAATGAGGATTAGTACAAATCAAAGTCTACGTGTACCCAATGTATTCTTGTACCAGAGAGGGTATATGGTATCTATATAGAATTTTCTATTTTATCAAATTATTCAGTTTGAAAGTGACAAAAAATAATTTTAAAATAATATAAGAAATTAATATAGAAAGAGATAGTATAAAACATGAAACTTTGATTTTTTTTTTTTTTTCACCTTTCAGATTGTCCACTGGAGCTATGAAAAAGCCTTTCGGAGCTGATATATCTTATTTATGTTGATGTATATCTTCGCATATTTGGTTCATGGATAATATTATGTTCAGTCAACTGGATCATTCAAAACAATGTTTTCTCCTGATTGGTTCATAATGTCTGTTAACTTCACATAGGGAAGCAAATTCCCTTCAAACAGCTGGTTTATGTCGTCATTTTAGTTCACATAGGGAAGCAAATTCCCTTCGTACAGCTGGCTCATAATGTGCGTTACCTTCACATTGGAACGCTACATTACCTTCACATAGCTGACTGACGTCTGTTACCTTCACAAAGTAAAGCCACACTACCTTCACATAGCTGGCTTGTGACGTCCGTTACCTTCACACAGGGAAGTTACAGTACCTTTGCATAGCTAGCTCATAACGCCCGTAACCTTCACATAGAGAAGCAACAGTACTTTTGCATAGCTGGCTCAAGATGTCCGTAACCTTCACATAGAGAAGCAACAGTACTTTTGCAAAGCTGGCTCAAGATGTCCGTTACCTTCACATAGAGAAGCAACAGTACCTTTGCATAGCTGGCTCATGATGTCGTAACCTTTACAAAGTGAGACCACACTACCTTCACATAGCAGGCCCATGACGTCCGTTATCTCCGCATACGGAAGCTACGCTACCTTCACATAGCTGGCTCGTGAAACATATCGTTTTTACCTAACTTGCTCCTGGAGTATCATTCATTAAACTAGCTGACCGAGTAGCTGTTTCAAAAAAGAAAAACGTCACTTTCACACTTCTGGCAGAGGGATTACATTACATTTACCTAGCTGGTTTAGGAAGTACATTATCTTTACAGTTCGAATTACATATTAACTTAATAATTCAAACTATTTACCTTTATATTACTGGCTTAATGAAATCGTTACATGCAAACTGCTGGTTTATAAATAACATTAGATGGTTAATGAAGTCCATTACCTTCGCAACGCCAGCTCATGGAGTCCAACCAGCTATCGGACCGATGAGTTCAGCAACGACGCTCCAAAGGACTCCTGAAGTCATAAGTTCTTCTTAACATGGCAACAATGCACGATTTCATTTGTCAGTGGGGGGACAATATTACCCATGGGAACGACAGCATCTCGTGTGATGAGCTTCATCAAATGCTTATGCTTATGGATAGTCTTTCTGGCTCTCATTCTGGGAGTAATGAATACAGAACACGACTTCTCTACTACCTCATGGGCATTGGAGGGAGTGTGGTGTGCTGTTTGGGCACAATCGCCAACGCCTTGTCAGTTGCGGTGTTAACAAGACGTTCTATGCGTTCCAGCACGTATGCCTATTTGACAGCTCTGGCAATCTGTGACTCGCTTGTGCTTTTCCTGACGTTTTTAATTATCATCAACGATACCAGACCTCCAGACAGCCCTAAACAGATTGAGCAGTTCCACGCACTGCTGTTTCCTTTCGTCCATCCAACAGCAGTGGTGTTTCAGGTGACGTCCATCTGGCTGACTCTTGCTTTTACAGTGGATCGCTACATCATGATCTGCCATCCTTTCAAAGCAGAACGGATGTGCAGACGAAGCCGCGCTCGAAAAGTGATCATTTGCCTGTATATAGCTGGATTAGCCTTCAACATTCCTAGATACTTAGAGTACAGGACCAAAATTGAAACCTTACCTTTAGCCAACTCCACAGAGGTTTACACATTTTATGGGATTGAAACGACAGCTTTGGGAAAGAGTGAGTTGTTTTTAGAGCTTGTGCATTCGTGGCTTTACCTAATATTTATATGTGGTATTCCTTTCTTTACCCTGGTTATCCTCAACGCTTTTCTCATCAGAGCGGTTCATCTTTCTCGCCTGAAAGGTAAAGATCTCAACCCCAGAGAAAAACACCGTAATGACACCACCATCATGCTAATTGGTGTCATTATCATATTTCTCATCTGCCAGGGTCCTGCATTGGTGTCCCGAATGGTTTACGCTCTAAAACCAGAGGTCACTTCAACAAATGCTGGTTTTACACTTAACGAAGTGGGAAATTTTTTCGTCTTGTTGAATTCGGCCATCAACATTGTACCGTATTACCTTTTTGGTATGAAATTTCGAAGTGAGTTTTGGAGGCTCTTCTGCAAGTGCTTCTTCGATAAGGACGAATTAACCAGAATCACCAGAAGCTACAGTGTGTCCGTTGACCAACGTCGTATGAGCCAATACAACGTGATGGAAATGAATGGTGTCTTCAACAGCAGTCAAGGATTCAACTCTATTTTGAATGAACAGGAGAACAGAAAGAGTCCCCGAACAAACACCTTGTACAGCTTCCAAAGAAAACGAACGCCAATAAATGGGAGCAGAAGCTTTATGCGACACAGCGATACGATGGATAGTGTGGCAGCTCCACTCATCCACAGCACACAGAATTCACTCAGTTCATCTGAACTGACACGGGATACGAGCAATGACTCTATCAGAAATATCAGCTCCTTATTTCACACGCCAACAGTCACGTCTCCTTATTCACACAGCGCCTCTAACGGACATAGTCAGTGCATGGGCGTCACAACAAGTCCTTGTATCACTGTTCCAGAGTGGTCAATAGTCTAGCCGTGCCTGTCTTATTGTATATAATGTAATTTATTCGTGATTTTATTTTTGTGATTCCCTGTTTGGATTTCCGTTTCTATTTTTGGGGGTGGTGGGGAATAATGGACCCCCTGCGCCCTCCCCCCCCCCCCAACAAGTATGTCATTAAAAGAAACTAACTGAGGGTTGAAAAATTGAGTGGGGGGGGGGGGATAGAGGGCGTTGCTTCGAACAGTGTGTCCGTGACGTATGCCTGACAGTCGAGAAACAAATCGTCTGCATACAAATAAGCCAGCTCTGTGAAACGGATATGCCTGCAAAACTCCAGTTACGGAACGAGACCAGAAATGGGCTAAGAGCCAGAACTTTCGGTTGTAGTTTACAGCCAGTGCACGCGAAGAAGAAGAAGAGAAGCAGGCTAGAGTAATGATTTCCCAAGATTATGGTATACTGGGTAAAATACTAGACTTTTTCAGATAACGGCAAAACAATAGGCTCACTAGTTTAATAAGTATAATATGAAAAGATATTCAACCAAACAAAAAATTAGAAGACAACTTCAGTTGAACGCTGCGGCTAAAGAGCCTTAACCAGCACATACAGAAATCTGTAATGCAACAAGTAAGAATACACACAATCACTTAACTGACCTATTTCCGATAGAAATCACATTGCTGTCTAGCCAGTAGAATATCTTTCACCTTTGTGCCCACCACAGAAATATACTGGCCAGAAATATCGAGGCCAGAATGTTGACAGAAGAGTCTGAGTCAAATGGTCTTTTGCCCTTACATTAGGTGGGTACTGCCTTTGCAGAGATGCCTGGTCCAATACTGCCGTGTTTGCTTACGATACTATGAGTGTTCCAGGACAGGAATGGAAACTACTGCAGCCGGTATTGACTAAGAAGTGCATACAACATGCAACATGCTTATCAGACTGATGATGAATATGTACATAGAGACGAAATTGGTCAACTGGACAGCATCAACGCTTTTCGAAAGAACATTGTCGATGCCATGCTGTGCTTGGGCATTAAAACGTTAACGCGTCCTAATGGACTTGCCCAAGGGATCACCATTATCTCCTGTTCTTTTCAAAGTGTACACATCAGTAGTCACCAGTGCACAAATAATATGTCCAGGCAGAACAATGTCATTCGCAGGCTATATCCTTGTGTACCGACAAGGAAGCAACAAGCATGAAATTACAACAACGATACATCATGAATTAAATTCAATGAGTAGTGCCATGGATCAAGAGCACAGGCAAACCCCGCAAATGTTTCATCCATGTTTCTCCTTAAATATCCACATTGTCAGTGCACCTACACCAGACATGAGCATCTGCGGTATAAACATCGTCAGAACGAACGCAATGCTTTGTCTTGACATAACATTCTACTGATGCTTACCACACAAGTGTCGCGTAGACAATGTCATAGTTAACCACAGAAAATGCCCGACGATCCTGAAGGCGATGGCATACGGCAACATTGAACAACGCCTACTTTTCAGCGACTTGTACTAAGTGTTATAGACTAGAGTATGACATTTTTACTGTCAGCAGAACCGAGCTAGAAAGACTGGACTAGGTACAAAATAAAGTCAAGAGATTCGTACTCTGCTTCGCAAAGACACGTCGTGCGACGCCATGCGGTATGTCTTGGGTTTACAGACGATGTCCACCAGACATAAAGTGGCTCAGGTGAAGGCGTGCATGAGAATATCAGCAAACATCAACCCCCTACTGCACAAAGTTATCCATAATATAAAAGGGATGCATCTCAAAACAGCTTCTCTTGGATGGCTGATTGCAGCAGACATGCGACCTAGACGAGATCAGTCACGAAAAAAAATTGACGGATACACCTGCAGACAGGCATGGCTTGTCTAAGGTTGTAATAACTTCAGGAGTCAAATACCTGCGACCGTAGACGCTGAGATAAAGACACTGATTGATCAGTATTCAGGTCCAGAAGACATCATCATTGACACAGATTGATCCGTGAAGCCTGGGTCAAGATCAGAATGGACATACGCATAGGACAAAGGATTCGTAAGTCGCAGTTAACCTTCATCATCTGGATCTACACACCTGGATATGCAGGGTGAAGGGCTATGAAAGAGCTAACCAGCTGGCAGGTAACGCATCAATTTAAACGGAAAGAAGCATGGACAGAGCTGATATCATCAACGCTGTACTGACTAGGGTGTGGGATGATGGCGAATCACTGACGCTAACACGACTGCGTGACCGAGTAGTTGAGCTTTTGTAGACTACGTCTATGCCGTACTGTCGAGGTAAAAACATGAGCTACTATATCTGACTCCTCACGGGAATAATCAGTACAGGTACCTTGGTGTGTCTGCATCGGAGGACTGAGCACGCATGGGGATGCCCAGTGCGCAAAGACGTCGAATGTGATAACATAACAAATTTCCCCCCCCCCCCCCCCCCTCCCACCTAAAAAAAAAGAACGATACGGGTCGTAACTCTTAATAAGTAAATAATAGGAACCTTTCCACGTAGGTGGCATAACGGTCACACGATGCCAGACAATGCTGAAAGACCAGTGGGAATGATTTCTTTGAACGCTTTCTTTTCCCCGATATCATTTTTTTCCCCCATTTTAGTGCTTATTTTGTAATTCTTTGCTCATTTCGTCTCAGAGTGTGCCCAGTATATTTCCAACTTCTTGTCTTATTGCAGTCGATACAGGTTTTTGTTAGACATTTTTCTGATCTCGTCATCTCGTTTGTTTGTTTTTTAAATCATCTCACTTTATGTTAATAGACCTCTTTGGGTGTAGAGGTCAACATGAGGCTCACTTGTTTAGCCTGGACCAGCAATGGTCAGTAGAATTACGTCCAGCTGCATCAAAACTAAAGTAAAGGACACCTTTCCATGCCTTTCGACGTATTAGGCATATAGGGCTAGACCTATACCTTATCGGGTGAGGGGAAAAAAAGGAAGGGGGGGGGGGGGAGATCGCTCAGCACCCTTAAAATATGTTGTTGAATGGAGGCGGTTCTGAAGTTGCCCGAGATCATGGAAACCCGGTGTTCTGTTCATAATAACACGTACTAGACTTATTTGTTTTGTGTGTGTGTGTGTGTGTGTGTGTGTGTGTGTGTGTGTGTGTGTGTGTGAATTTGTTAAAGTCAGGATATGTTTTTGGAACTTACGTTTGTGAATTACTTTGAACCTTTAATGCGTACTGAATATAAAAGAGGTATAAAACCAGTATTCATCATTATCCCTGCCTGGTGTTGACTTTGGGTTACTTTAAAGCGGTCTGGGACCCCAGTGTAGCCTTACAACCCAGCAGGCCTGGAGGGATTGGTACAGGTAGGATTCTCAACATTAAGGTGGTAATCTGTCTGCGGACTGCAAGTCCTGGAGGGGGCAGACTGTAACCGCAGGATGACATCAGTCACAGGGGAAATACTCGTCTTCTTTAAAAGTTAAAGAACAACATCATTATCATTCTTCTTGTGTCGTTAGACGGGCACATAGGGCTCACATAGTCTTTCTTCACTTCTCTCTATTGCATGCAACTCTCGATTTCTGATAAGCAGTTCAGCCAAGCACATTTTTGTCTTTCGTAAAAATGCTCCTAATTGTTTCTTGAATGTTCTCTTTTTCTCATACCGTTTACTTACCATTTTAGTTTTGTTGTTGTTGTTGTTGTTGGTGTTGTTATTGTAATTCTCTGCTCCTTTCTTAACAGAGTGTTCCCAATATATCTACGCCTTTTTTTTTTTTTACATTCCATATATGTATTTGCTTAGTCATTTTTCTGACCATTTTTTTAAACAACTAATTTTATGTTCAAGGTCATTATTCATTTTGCGTTGGAGTTCTTCACTCAGCTCTATTGCAAGCAACGCTTTTTATTTCAGACATGGAGTTCAGCCTTGTGTTTTTAGCTTCTTGTAATAACTTTCTTTTTAATGTTTCCTTTAGACGTCCTTTTTTTCTGAGACCAAATGTTTCCCATTTCAATGCTTGTTTTGTAATTCTTTACTCATTTGGTCTCAGAGTGTGCCCATTATATCACTACCTTCTTTGTATTTTTACAGTCGATGCAGGTATTTGTTCAGACATTTCTATAATCTGTTATCCTTTTTTTTTTTAAATTATCCTATTTATGTTCAACAGGTCATCACTAATTGTGCAGGTTCATTATGTGCCGCATCGGTGCAGAAACTTTGGGCCGTCGACACATTTTTAAGAACTTGTTTGTGTGTTTAGGAGGGCGCTCAATAATTTTCCATAGATTTTTCCAGTGGTCACAACACTTTTCAGTTTCATGTTTCTCACAATATAACCACATAATGAACGGGTGTCTTTTTCTGAAGTTTGTAATAAATTGTCTGGCTTCTTTCAGAACATTCAGGTTGCTTTTTTTTTCCCTGAATGTTCACGGAATGTCTTGATATGAAAAAGGGATATGCCATTCATATTTTGAGCTGAAAACGTGACATTCCACTCAAATATTCAGCTAAACCGGAAATGCCCAGCCAGTCAGTTTAACTCCAATATCACCCATTTTTTCTTCTAGGTCAATAGGGTGAACGGGTTAATTATTCGCTTGACACTGGCGCTATTAAAACCGGAAACATCGTGGCTAAGAACTCAACGAACCTATAGGGGGCTGCGTGGTCTCGAGGAATGGTGTCCATAAGGGTTGGAATTTTTTCACGTAGACCTAGATTGCTAGTATCTCCCCTGGTCTCTGGGTAGTGAGATCGGACGCCCGTGTGCATTGTTGAACACGTAAAAATCCCTTGGCAGTTTAAAATGGAAAAGAGTAGCCTAACGGCGCAGCCGGGCAAAATTTAGTTAAAAATCTATCTAAAGTATTTCAGGATCCTCGCCTGTGCTACAGAACATGTGCACTGTGCTGAGCTTCTTCGGACTCAGACTTGAGTTATAAGAAGAAGAATGGAGCATTTATGGGTTACACCCGTCTGCCATGATGTTGATCCGTTGTTGAAAACCTAAAACCTCAAAGA